TTGAGTGAAGCTCAAGCAGATCCCATACCTGATACTCCTTTGCGATTAAAATTAGCTTTAATCCCAAAACGGCACATGACATTTCATGACAAATGGGAACCTTTAGTCATATCAGCCTCAAGGAAAATCATGACACACGAAACCAAATTGCTTAGAATTGCAATCAAAGCCCAGATTTTAAACAACTTATATTTGATACACTGTTTCAAACAATTTGTGCCTGTAAAGGTAAATGTGTGTTTGAAATAATTCTGAGCTGATTTATATGGCAGGGACCATTATAGAACACTATACTGTATATATCATAGCTGATGCCTTTTGATTTCTCCACAGCTTATAAAACTGTGTCTGGAGTCAATGGACCTCTGGTCATTTTGGATCAGGTGAAGGTAAGAAAAGGTTTCTACTAAGATAGTTTTCTTAAAACTCAACAAAAAAATGTTTTTCATTGTGACTTCAGGTTCTAACTTTTGATCTAGTTGTGGCACACTTGGCTTTCTGAGTTTTCACTTTAATAGAATGCTTTAATTTCACAGGGTGTCTCAAGCTTAGTGACCATGCTTGACTTCCAGTAATACAGCTGTCAATGTGGTAGTGTTGTGTTACTAATTATAATTGTCCACATTAATATTATGCAGTCAAGCAGTCCAGAACACTGAATAAAACGAGGTGGTGTAGAAGTAGCAGGATAAACACTGTAGATGTAAATACAGTGTATTATTCCTCTCTTTTCCAGTTTCCACGGTATGCAGAGATTGTGCATCTGACTCTTCCTGATGGCACCAGAAGAAGTGGACAAGTGCTGGAAGTCAGTGGATCTAAAGCAGTCGTGCAGGTCAGATTACTCTTGGATAGCTCCTTTATCTGTTGGAATGTACTGTTTGTGTTGCATAATGTGACTTGCAGATACTGCAGCTGTCATGAAGAAGTGTGGTAAGTTGAATGGTCTTGCGTTTTACAAGATGTATCATCAAGCTACAGATCTAGTGACTTACACAGTGAAGCAAAAATACCACACAGAATAAATCATGGGCAACAACATGCAGGGTTCTAGAGCAGCACACTTGAGTATTAAGCGTCATGGCAGAGCAAAGATGTGAACAAGAGTGCTTGACGAACAGCGAAGCCCCTAAGCTGCAGTGCATAGTCTGAACATTCATTGCCAATGTAGGTGGCAAATTTAACATGAAGTTATGTCATTCGCCTTTATGGTCAATTAATTAATAAAGCAGACAGAAATGCTAGATATAAGTAGATGGAAGTTATTTAACTTGGTTCTGCTGAAATTTGGGTGGTAGCTAAACAGTAAAACATCACTTTTACCAGGTATGCAGAAATCCACTTGTAATAGTCTGCAGGTTTTAATAAGAATCATGTCTGCCCAGGACAGTCTAATTCTGGGTAGTGGTTGATTCTCACAAGCAAACATTGTCAATTAAAGGACAGTTGAAATTCACTGCTACTTTTAATTTTTATGTTCAGTTAAGAATAGGGCAGATGAACAGCATGATTTTGTTAATAGCAGCTTAAGGCATAGAATTAACAAAATGCTTCACCTTTTTGTTATTATAGTGTAGTGAATGAAGTCTGTTCCTGTACTACAAGAACTTGTGCACACATGTACTGCCTCCCTACACACAGCTCGTGCCTGGAGAAGCGAAAAACTATTAGACCTTGGACCCCCAGAGATTTCCTCTTCCCTTTTTGGAGTTTTTGTTTTGTCTTTCCTCCATGCCTGATGATTACAGTGATACCCGATGATACACTAAACTACTTTACATCCACTTACTCAAGTTTCCTTTTAATTTATTGAACTGTACAACCCTGTCTGCATAGTCTGTGTAAATAACTGTGAAAGCGCTCTGTGACCGATTGCTGTGAAGGGGACTATATAACAATATGGAATTGAATTTGTACTCCCAGGTGTTTGAAGGGACGTCTGGGATTGATGCCAAAAAGACGAGCTGTGAATTTACAGGAGATATTCTGCGCACACCTGTGTCAGAAGACATGTTGGGTATGTACACATGCATGATGTACATTTGATACCGTGTTGCCAGGCTAAATAAGGCAAAGTTTCAAAAAATTATAAGTGTATTATTTACAGAACATTATTTAGGACATATTTGAATCAAGAGCACACAATCACATTTTCATAGTTGGACACTATTGTCCTAACCATACATTACAGGAAAGTTTTGTTTTTTGTATGTCAAGACATGATCTGTCCTTACACACTGAAATCTTTATAGATTACATTGTTACAGCATCAAAAAAATGTTGTTTTTTTACCACTGATACACTAGACAGAAATTCTCCAGATGTAAAATGAGCTCTGCATAGGGCCTAATATAACAGTACAGGTTCTGAGTCAACACTGCTTTTGTCCGCTTAGCTCAGTGCAATAAGAGGATAAATAAAATTTTCATTTTCTAGTCATTTTAGGAAAGCGATCCAAAAGGGAGACAGATGGGATATAGAGTTAAAGGAGTAGAATTCAAATCACAGACTGTTATGCTCAAATTTAACAATACAATAGTAAGACCTCTAGAATATTCTGTGCAGTTTTGGTCACTATAATGCCAAAAAGATATTGCTGATCTGGAATAATTCCTGAGATGAACAACCAGATACATTCCTAATGTACGTGTAGGAAATTACTTCCAGGCTAAAAGAACCAATTTGCTTTAGTCTTGAACAGGGAAGAGACTATAAAGGGACCAGATTGCAAGGTTCAGATTCCTCAAAGACATAAACAAAGTCGCCTCAGAATCAACAGTGAAACACGAACCAGAGACCACAAAGGAAACTACTGGGAAGCGCTTTTAAACCTGAGAACCGGAGAAGCTCTTTTATAATGTGATACAGAACAAGGTACCCAGCTGTGCTCTTGAAGTTGGCACTCGAGAAGAGAAAGAAGGATTAGGTCCTCGGATCAATTGGATACTAAAAAGCAAACAAGCTCGATGGGCTAAATGATCTTTTCTCATTTGTGACCTTTTTTATGTTCTAATTGATAATACAGTGGTATAAACTCCTTTGCGTGGGGTATTTTATGAGTTGAGGAACTTCATTTTGATTATGTGTTTCCATACTGAACGGGAATCTTGTTTTCTTTCTAGGGCGTGTTTTCAACGGATCAGGAAAACCAATTGACAGAGGCCCCACCGTAATGGCAGAAGACTATCTGGACATTATGGGTATGGTCTGAGCTCTGTCAGACAGAAATGCCACGTAGAGGTGAACGGCCTGTGTGAGCTGAGGCTTACAAGAGTACCGGACTCTGTCTCTGAGTCTCTGGTTGAATTGCAGTGTGCAGGAAGGGTAGTTGTTTACTTGTTCTTACTGATATATTACCGTATGTGTTTTGCACTACACACATCGGTTCCCAAGTTACAAACTGTGCACACTTAACATATCCTGACAACATGGCTTCAAAGAAGAGTTCCTGTGGCATCTCCAGCCACCCATCCATTTTGTAACAACTTTGTCAAATTCACGGTCACGGGACAGCCGGAGCCCATCTTGGCAAAAATACTGGGTGCAGAGCAGGGTACACCCTGGATGGGACGCCAGTCCATCGCGGCTGAGCATGCACACACCAGAGCCAGTTAACCTACCGGTATGTCTATGGACTGTGGGAGGAAACTGGAGCACCCAGAGCAAAGCCAAGCAAAACATTGGCCAACCCCATGAACACAGCACTTCAGGAATTGAACCCAGGGCCCTAGTGCTGCGAGGTAGCAATGCTAACCACTGTGCCACTGTGCCGCCCCTCTTATGGCAACTGAAACTGGAAAAAGGCAGCACTGGAAAGTACAGTTGACCATACTTCATTGAATACTGCTTAAATAAATGAATTGGTTAATTGCGTCACATACAGCTGGTCCCATTTTAAGCGCCCTGTGTTTTAGAAATGCATAATTCAGTTAAACCTTAGATGAATAATTTGCTGAATTGAATATAGATGAATGATATTGGATTATTTTATGCATTTTATTATCTAGATAACTGTATGAACAGTTTCCTGTTAGTACAAAATGCAACTGTGTGATCCTCATTGCTGCCTGGCCGTGCCATTTACAAAGAAGCAGATCACAGTGTGACAAATCAGATGCAGGCTAGACTTTTTGGGGTGGGATTAAGTGTGATTAAACGTGAGTACATTTCTGTATGCAAAGGGTTGTAGAAGTGTGGAAAAAGCTACCCAGCTATGATGTAGGAGCCAGTACCCAATATCGGAATCAGTTGGATGCGACAATCCTTGCATCAATTAGCTACTAATTACCAGACTATGTAGACCGAATGGGCTCCCCTTTTATGTTCTGTTATGTAACCATTCTAATGTTCTAGTCTGGTGTGAAAGCTGGACAGCATGCTTAGAATGACTTTTAATACTGTACATTGTTACAGACTTCAGAAATATTGAAAAGAAATGAATACA